GGAAACATGAAAAGTCACATGAATTATTGTTAAAATATATAAAAAAAAAGATAGAGATGAAATTTAATTTTAAAGATACATAAATCTACTTTAATTTCTTACTAATTACTCATTTTTATTTTTATTTACATTTATGTTAGAAATTTGAAAGGTCAAGATTATGAAATGAGAATAAGAAGATTATATATATATATATATAAAATTATATAAGTTTTAATTTATTAGAGGGGCAAAATGGTAATTCAACTTTTAAGTTTTGAGTTTCATGCTTATAATAATATATGATTGATGATTAGAGTATTGTGTTTAAGTTAATTCCTAAGATTATATAGCTGTAATCTAAAGGCCACTTGAGTTTAGTGGAGTTTATTCTTTCGATAAATTCTATGAGAAAAGGTTGTGAATTTTTACGCCGTTGAGTAAAGAGTTTTTCACGGTAACATTAAGTTATGGTGACTGTATCTTGTCTATCAACCTATAATAATGCAACTAACTCTTGACGATAACTATGACTTTGTTGTGTAGAAATTCACCTATCACATTTTTACAGAAAAATTGATCCACATCAAATTCAAATCTTACTCCTATATACCATTATATATTCACAAATCAATTAAAGAAAAGGACAACATAAATTATGTAAGCATACTTCAACAGAAACAATAGCAATGTTCTTCAATTAATACTAGAAAGTAGAAACTGCTATCTAATAAACACATATTTGGAAAACTAGAAACTCTATATATCATTATGTTGGAATTTGTTAATCCCACAGAATCTTCAAGAAAACTAAACTTTTCACATACAACAAAGCCTTCTTTGCAATAAAATCCCCAACTTGTGTCACCTTAGATTCAGTATATTCATTTTTTCGTACGTCATACTCGATAAAAAGAAGCTCGAGCTTTCTCCATAATATGTTCCCATTGTCCTTAACAGACATGAAGTTACCTGCGAATGACTAGGCTTTCCGATAAGTGAGACTAAAGTAGCAAACTTGTCGATACAATTCCAGACAGTTTTACTATCTTTCTCCAGCGACCAAATCAAAATTTTGTCTCCAACAGTTGCCAGAACACAGACGCGATCACCCAATGCACATAATGTCGGTTTTATCCCATATGTATTGTCCAGTTATATGCTATTTTGTGAATAACACCGTTTATGAAACTTGATCATGGTATATGTGCGGTGGCAAAGGATTAGAGGGACCAGGAAAATATTGTGAATTGTTCTCCAACATTGATTTTTAACGGAGTATACTTCAACGAAGTAACGTGGATGCCTTAGACTATCGTTTTTCAAGTACAGATGTACACATAAAACTTTGTTATCTTGGGTCATAAAATCATAGGCAAAAACCAAATACTGGAGATGTCGATAAAGAATTAAAATACTTTTAACTGATAAGAGAATTTGGAATGAGTTTGTAATATTATAGAAACACCAAGCAACTGAATGAAAGCATTTCAATATATTTTTAGTTACTACAGAATCCTGCGATATTGGGCTGCTCACAATTAGTTTAGCATTTGGGCTATATACTTGTAAGATAGATAAAAGTTGTCAACACATTGCTTCATACAACTCTACCACAACTATCAACTGTGTATTCCATTCACAACTATCATGCAACGAGCCATAGTAAGGAAAAAAAGTAGCAGCACAATTCGTTGACTATCTGAATTTTTATCTTATTGGTAAACGTTCGATTTTCAATCTCCCATCTCAATGGGGGCCCTAATTGTATGTCATTCCAGATAACCAATGTTTAAATTAAAAACAAAAAAAATTCAAAACGACATAAAAAATCTAATAAGTTTAACTTTACCCTGCCCTGCCCTGTCCTTGCTGAATTCATGTTTTTCTAGGAATCATGGCCTTCAACCAACTCAATCTTTTATCCATTTTCATTGTCACAAATGTTTCTCTCCAATTTTTGTGTTCAAACAAGTCCATAGCAGCATTATATAGCCTCCGATCAACTCCTGGTGTATCGTTTAGAGCCACAACACAGCTAGCTATTGAATACGGATCATCTTTCTGATTCTGATTCTGATCCATGTCACTGCTCTTTGATCGTTTTGGATTGTTAGGACCAACACTACTCCTCTTATTGGAACCGGATTTTGGTGGCTCTGTCAATTTACGTTTGTTTCGTTCGCTAGGGTTGCTTCGAGGATACATAGAAGAAACAGATAATTCCCCGGTTGCTTTTGGTCTCGTAAAAATATGACACAACTCCTTGTATATAGGGCAGCCATATTTTCTATATGGTGCTATCTCAGGATGTACCTGCAAGATACTATTTCATAAGACACTTAAATTGAGA